CTCAGGATTGGATAAATTCCGTTCTGGATCCTGTCCAGCACGGACGCCGTCAGAAACATGACTGTCTCCAAGCTGTGGTTCCCCTCGCTTCGGCGCAAGCCAAGGGTCACTTCATGTGGTCCTTGGATCTCTCTCAAGCGTTTGACAGGTTGAGACCGGAAGTGGCTCTGTGGAGTTTGACTCAGTTCGGGTTCCCCCCTCAGCTTGCCAACGCCTTCCAAAAGATTTGGGGCTCTCAGCGCCGCGTGCTGCAATGGCAAGGCGAAAGTCTTCCGATTCCTTGCCTTGCGGCAAGCAGCGTTCCGCAGGGCGATCCGTTGAGCCCTTGGGCTATGAACGTGGTGCTACGAACGCCGACAGCGGTCATCCGCCGTCTGCATCCTACTGGTGTACTCTCAGTCTTTATGGATGATCGAAGCTTTTCTGCTGAGTCCCTGGAGACCGGTAAGAGCATTTGGGAAGCTTGGAAGAACCACATCTGGCTAAGACACAAGTCTTCTCGCGCACACAAGACGGCCAGTTTCAGGTCCGCAGTGACCCTGAGACGGCTCCGTGAGCGAAGGACGCCTTGGCGGCGTTAGGTGTTTCTTTTACCCCTCTGGGGTGCAAACCTACTCAGAAAGACAGCGACCGGTTTTCCACCGCTTTGAAGACTGCAGCGGAACTCAAAGTTGCTCCTGCGTTGGCCAAAGAACGTCTCCTCCTCGCTGCATCCGCTGTGACTACAAAGGGTACGGCTGGGCACTTCGGGCTCCTCTACTGCGCAGTTGTACGCAACTTGGCAGTCGACTTCGAGCAGCTGGCTTCGGTCACAGGTCCGCGTCGGTGCCTCTGACCCACTTACTTTTGGGCCACGCGACAAGTTCACTTTTCATGTCTGGCTACCTGGCCGTCTTGAAAACAAAGTTGCAACAGACTGGGGCCTTGCGGGAGGTTTCGTTCAACGAGTTCGAAATTTTTTAACCTCCCTGGGCTGGTCGAGCCCCAGGCCATGCTGTGGAAGCACTAAGGACTCTGCGGCGTTGCGGAATGTCCCTTATGACTCTGGCCGTGTCAAAGCTGCGGCTGTTGCGGCACACCGAGGCAATGCTCACGAAGTGAACATTTTGTGCGGTGGCTTCATTGGCCCTATGAGGTTTCACACGACTTCTCGGTCGGAAAACCCGAGTGGTCGCTGCCCTTTTTGCGATTTCATTCAAGGAGATCGGAAGCATCTCTTCTGGGATTGTCCTGTGACCAACCCCACCGAACCAAACCTTTAGATCCTACTGAGGCAGTGTTGGGATGGCCGCCTGTCGGTGGTCAGTCTGACACTTTGTCCCGCCTTGGGCGGGTACGCAAGGAGATGCTCGATCGCCGTTATGGTGGTGCCACCCCGGGGGGGCAGGGGGGGCGGGCATCTGAGGACATTTGGTGCTGTGCTTGGCGGTGTACCCGCGCTGACTGCTGCCTTGGGCGTTAGCGCTGTGGTCGTCCGTCATCGTCTACTTTCATCATCATCATCATCATCATCATCATCATCATCATCATCATCATCATCATCATCATCATCATCATCTCGGGCGGCATCGACCTGAAGAAGAAAGGCTGGAGCGGCTTCAACCCAGAGCGGAAGATGGAGAAGCGCCAGAGGCCGAGGAGGAGGATCGGGACCAGCCACTTCAAGAAGTTGCGCATCAATCTCCCGTGCCGCGATCTCCTGGTTCTTCTTCTCCAGCTCGCCTTCAGGGCCTCCAACTCGTCCTGCATAGGGTTGCTGCTGCTCGGTCCAGTCACGCGCTGAAGGGCCAGCGACTGCTGCAGGATCTCGATCTCCTGACCTCGCACACCTTCCGTGCACACTTGTAGAAGCGTCGTCCCCGAGTTGGCCCTGACTTCTTGACCGTCATCCTCTCTGCAGGAAGGTTGCAATCGCAGTTGACGCTGATGCTTCTCATCGGCCATGGGGTTGCAGGAGTCGCTGGCGTGGACGCTGTTGGCGATGTCCACGATGTAGCCTTCTGGTAGTTGCGCTCGGGCGTCATGTAGCCCTCGGTCATAGTTCCCGCCCTCGTCGATGGTCTTGGTGGACTGCTCAACACCGGGCTCTCCCTCTTCTCGCACGGCCCGGCGTTGGCCTTGGGAACTGTAGTTGCCACCTTCCAGCGGGCATGACACTCTAGACACCAGACCTCCTTCTGCACCGCATTGCCCGCTCCACTCAGGCAGTTTGCCGGAGCACTTGTCCACTTTGACATGTGGTGGATTGGTGCACTTCCTCAAACCCTGGTAGACGCCGACGGTCTGGATCATCTTGGCGTACTGCTCTTGCTTGGCGGTGGGCGGCACAGAGTCCCTTGACGGATATGCCTCCATGGCGCTCGATGGAACGCCCTCCCCATACAACAGAGGCGAGTAGCCAGCAGCGCAGCCAGCGGTGAGCCAAGCGGCTTCTTTGGCGTCCTCCGTCTCGCGGTCGTCGAAGTCTCGGATGAGTTGCAGCACCCGCTTGCCCATGCACCTCCAGCGCAACAAGCCCCGGGCTGCCTCGGCTGATCCCATGTCGGCCTGCTTCTCCTTCCCCTCCATCGCTTGCAAGCGGCGCACCAGGTCCATGACAAAGCAAGCGGTATCCGGTCTTGAGGATGGGGCTTCCAGCACGTCGAGCGCCTGTTCCACTCATGGCTGGGTCATGCGTCACACACAGATGAAACTGGTCTGCCCGACGACCCGCGTCCGCGGCTACCCTCGGCATGGTCCAACCACGAAGTCCGAAGTCCAACACATCGATCGAGGCATGTATCCGTAGTTGTTCTTGGTCCAAGTCAATCGCCGGATTGGAAGTAGTAAAGGGACGTCCTCTTGAACCACCGTGCACTCCAAAATGCCCGCGACCCCTCCAAGTCCCAAAGGAAGATCGATCATCCCCATGACCTTGGCCTCCCCTCAACTCCTCTGGCCTGTGCCTTCTTGTCCAACCAAACCCCTCTTAGACCGTGTTCCTTCAAACTCTCCTCCAAACAACTCAAGGCCCTCTCCCCCCGTTTGGATGCCAACAAAGGGTGGGTCTCCGAGAAATGCACTCTTCTAGGGTGACATGGAAAGCAACGTTTTCACCCTGGCCCTTCCAACATCCAAAGTTCTCAGCCTTCTCGTCCTGGGGCCCAATGGCCCACCTGGCCACAGCGTGCACACTTCGCGCGCAACTTCAACATGTGTATGTGGACCCACCGGCTTCCAGCCTCAGCTTGTCCACGAAAAGGTCCAGGCGTCTTGAACTTCCCACCATTCTTGTTCTTGCCCCGGCCCTTCCAGCTGTTTCATTGCGTCTTCTGATCACGGACAGCCTTCCGAACCTCTTGGTACGTGGCCAAGGCCTCCTGTAAGTCAGCCTCTTCGAACAGCTCTTCCAGGTCTCCATCATTGACCCGCACATAGTTCTCGTCGTCCTCTTCCATGAAGATGCCCTGGGCGTCGTCCATGTTATAGCCCTCACCCTCCTCATCCACCGTGACATAGCGCTTACCACTGCGGTCATGGTGCACCTTCTCAAGCCTTCAGAGGGCCTTGATCACCTCATCTAGCGGCCAGCCGTCCAGGTCGCGACCTGATCTTCTTGCACCTGGGTTCGCATGCCTGAAAATGATGTAGCCCTTCACGGTGTCATCCAGGGCGACTCCTTCATCCTTCAACTCTTTGAACGCCGCGTCCTGGCGGATGATATACTCCTGGATCGTCTCCTTCGCTTCCGCATGTCGGAGTACACAGCCCGTTCAAAAGCTCGTGGAAGAGCGCTCTCCAAGTAAGGAGCAAAATGCTCCTTCAACTTCTTCATAATTGCCGCGCTGCCACCTTCTTGTAGAAGTTCATCGAGTGGGACCTCTTCTGCTGCAGCACGGGCCGGCTCCGTAAGCGTTCGCAACATGCGAACACCATGCTTCACCTTCGGCACTTCAGTGTCGAACTGCCACAACCTGATGTCGCGTTCATACCGCTTGAACGCTGCTGGATCGCCTCCATCAAAGCCGGGGCAAAGGTCTCAGTCTCGTCCTCCATGATGGACAGGGGAAGCGCTGCCCTCATCGGTCTCCGCCGTGGAAGCAGTCGCGCCCACCATGGCTCCGGCCATGCTCCGCTACCACTGTGGGTAGCGCGGCATGAAAAACAGCTAAGCGCGCAAACCTCGGCCTTTTGCCTTTGCGCGTGCGGTCAGCCCCATAGGCTGCTATTGAACCGTCGGTGAGCGACCATGTGTGTCACGTGGTCGAAAAGCTCAACAAGTGCAGTCAAAGGCAGCCACTACACAGAGAGAGAGAGAGAGATTCCATGCCAATGGTGGTTTTTGCCCTGGAAAACCTTCAAACCTTGCATTGCTTGCACTGTTCATCTTGTACCCCAGGGCACCTGGGCGATGCAACCTGAACGTGGCACCTTTGGGAAGACAGCTTGGACATCTTGGCGCCTCTTATAAAGAAGATCAAAACGTGCGGCACAACAGGTCGGTGACCCCGCAGTTGTGGTAGTGTTTACATTTCAAGTTGCGACGTGTCGCATTTGGCTGTTGCGTGCTTCTTTGTTGCGGTGTTCTTTTGAGGTGTGAAGACCATCAACTGTCAGCAAATGTTTGGAACTTGTCAGCCACTCTGTCGTCTGCTCCAGGATTCAGCATTCAATGGTTTCCTATGGTTTCCTTGGTGACAGCTTCCTTTATGACAGCATGGTGCGTCTTGTTTTCCAGACGCTGCGGGTTTGCCTATGGCAAGGTGTTTGGACTTTGGACCCGCACCTGCCAGTATGTATTCCTAGGACTATACCTGCCAGCACACTTGGTCCCCCAAAAGCAAAGCCACAGTGTGATTGCTCCGCTTTTTGCCGGTCTTATCACCAATCTAACCACTACATTTAGGCCCCTACGATTTGTGCCGGGGCCTTTCATTCTGCAAGTAAAATGACAAGCCTAGTAGTATGAGATGGTACAGTTGCCTTTGCAAGAACTTCATCATGCATCCAACCCCCTGGTCCTCTCGCTCCCTTCTTCGACCGGCACATCTCGCAACTCTCCACTGCCATGAGCAAACTTACAAACTCTCCCATATCCTTAGGAACAAATTGAAAGTACCAACATGGCAGATTCACCATCACAGTCAAGGCCCTCAACAAGTCGAGTTGAAGGAGTCAGGGCGCCCCAAATTGTGAGATTCAAGGTCTTCACCATCTTGACCACACCAAAAAAAGCAGCATAACCGAGGAGCCACGAGCAACACGAGCGTGGACTCATGGACCAAGCTAGACGGTGGTTTCCAGTTCAATCCAATCAGTTTCAATCCATTTCAATTCCACATCATCTCACTTTTTGCCCAGTGCCCCGCAATGCATGTGCTGCCAGTTGGATATCTGATGTCCCAACTACAACCCGTACGAAACCTGGGGTAACACAGCATAACAAAGAGTGGATGAGAAAGAAGCCTTGTGGGCTTGTTTAGGCACATGGCAAGGCAAAGAGTTCAGCCAGGCATCTACACCGCCCAGTAGCTGAGAACTGCGCGCAAAGCCTGACATCTACAAACCCGGCAGCTCCATATTGCATTGCTGCAGGTTTCCATGAGGCCACCACTACAGAGCAAAATTTGATCTACAAGTACAAGTACAATTACAAGTAGTAGTAGTAGTAGTAGTAGTTGTTGTTGTTGTTGTAGTTGTAGTTGTTGTTGTTGTTCTAGCGGCAGCAGCAGGCCATATTCTACGTGAAGGAAAAAACACATCTGACGCCTTGAAGGTGTTTTAGGTACCAGGTACCCGTGTTCCAGGAGGTGCTATGTTCACATGTCCCTTTCCGCGCCTTGTGCTGACCAAGTTCGGAGTGGGCCGGAGTTCATCCACGGAATGTGCAAAATCACAGGCGCTGCCACGGCAACAGCGACCTGCGCTCACAAACCTGGGCCGGGTGCGGGAGTTGACAATGGGGCCTCTTTGAAGGCAGCAAGAATACATGTTTAAATGTCACCGTCTCAGACTTGCAAATCACGTTTAGATTCCAAACATGGAAAGCCGACCTGAGTCCTGGTCATTAGTCCTTTGCTATAGACACCGAATATCATCAACAGGGTCTCAACAAAATGTGTTTGGGTACATTGTACGGTACAAGCAGCGCGCAAAAGCATTGAACAGACACGAAGGTGGAAGTTTGAAATAGCGGTACCAGTCGTCAGGGAGCACCCAACTGTGAGAAGCATGAAACACCCTGATCAACTCAACCTGCTGAAGCAACACACTTAGATGGTTGCTCGCAAGAGCTAGGATCAGTATTAGACCTTGACTGAAAAAGCGCAAAAAGGAAAGGTGATGGGTCCGCGGATTTGAAGGTGTTATAACAATGTTTTTGGATTGAACTGCTGGAGGCCTTCGAGCTGGGTTAAAAATTCGAGCAGGTACGCGGTGAGCGTCCCCACCAATATCAGTGTTCAATGCAAGCCTCTTCGTTGGGCTGGTACTTGCATGAACAACCAGCCCCCCCTGCTGCTGTATAGTAGGGAATTGTTGGAAACAGTCCAGAAGTAAAACAGTCGTAAGGTGGAGATTGAGAAATCCTTGGAAACAGCGTTGACACACACAGATCGTGGTCGGCGCTCTCTGTGGGGGAGAGAGGGTGCAAGGAAAACCTCGAAAGTGAAGAAGCTCGGAGTGCGGACTTTTTCGTAGTGCTTGTCGACAGCTGTGAAGATCGTGTCCTTTTTGGACATATAGGTCTGCTAGTTGAGCGAGCGCTCGCTCGACAGCCGAGGGCGGGTAGGTGTACTTGCGGATGAGATGTGCTCTGGAGTGAAAACCTGAAAGTCGTAAGCGTGTGGAGCCAGCGGAGGCGTGATCACGAATTTTCCATGAAGCATCGGGTGGCATGTAGGCGATAGTCCGTTGGTGAAGGTCCACGTCAAAGCCCAGAAGGTGCATGTCCTCCACTGGTTCGAGCTCCACTGGGTTGCCATAGAAGTCTGGGTGAATGAGGGTCTGGATGGCTAGGTGGGTGAGGAATGTCCGGTAGGTAGTCATGGAAGTGGTGCCATAGTTGTGGTATCGAGAGCTGTCCTGGTGATTGAGGTAGGAGCCGGTGAATCATAGTGTTAAGGACATTGGATGGGACGCGCAATAATGGTCCGTAGTAGGACTTGAAGTAGGAGATGATAGTACGGCCTTTCTTCCATTGTTTCTTGGCCTTCAAGTGAACGACTCCATAGGGCATGTTGAAGTTGATGATGAAGCCCCAGTTGTATTTTTTGCGTAAGTGCGCGGGGTAGGTCTGTTGTATGATGCTAGAAATGGTCTGGTCGGTATCGTCTGGCAACGGTTGGAAAAGTTCTGGCGATTGGCCAAACAGCCACGAAAGTAAACGCGGGGGCAGAAAATGCGGAGATGTTGTAGTTCGTGATCAGCATGGTGGAGGACGACGGCGTCGCTCAAAAATTCTTGTAACTGTTTGATGGATCTGGCGGTGAATCTGTCTTCGTGTTGTAGGTGATGCAGGTGGTTGGTCCATTGCGCGGCGAGAAAAGAGTCGGCATAATGGACTAAGGTGGCGGGTAGTCCGCGATGTCGCAGCCATTTGGTGAGGCTACGCCGAAAGGTGTCCCAATAGCGACGCTTGGTGGGGAAGAAAGTGCTGTTCATGTTGGCGTTCAGTAAGCGACGGAGATGGGCAGGCAGCTGCAGATCCGCCAGGGTGACGATCAAATGTTCATCTGGAGGAAAGATATGGTCTGGCAAGAGGAGGCTGCGAAGGTGGTTGCAGCCACACGGGAGCTGGTCTGCCTGGGGAGGGTGCCCAATGTGATCTTCCCATCGGCGGTGGTTGTGGAGACGACTGCGTAGAGTGGGATGCGCTGCTTCTCGTAGACGGCGCGTAGGAAGGTGGAGGGGGACGGCAAAGTGTTTATGCTGGTTGAGCATAGCGGCGAGCCATCTTTGGGCGTCAGCTTGGAAGTTGGCGTGGGCTAGGAACGGTATGGTCAAAGGGAGATTGCCCTTGGGCGGTGTGAGATTGCGAGAGCTCAATGCTTGGTTGATAAGGTGAGTGGCGCGGCTGCGTTCTGGTTCTTCAAGGCTGGTAGCCATACGACGGATGGCATAGACTTCAAGGTCGCGGTATTTGCCGGGGCGGAGTTGACGCGCGGCTTCAAACGATGCGTGGGTGTGTTTGGCGAGGTCGCGAAGCACAGTAAGCGCATGTAGCACTTGTGTGAAGTGTATAGGATGGGTTGGTTCGTGGAGCGCAAGCAAGTCTGAAGGGCGAGCCGGGGAAAAAAGGGGCTCGGTGTCTGCTGAACTGCCAACCTTCAGCCTTGAGTTTCAGATGCTGTGAGATGTAAGGCCAGTTAAGTGTGGGTTGCCATTGAGAGATGTAGAGGTGTTCATGGATCCAGGCCTGGTCATAATCCGGGTACGTAGCAATGTGAATGGTGGTAAAGTGGGTAATGGTGTTGGTGGCGTGCCAGTAGCGAAGGGATAGTTCGGCGGCAGCTGTACAACATGGAGAGGTGGGGGAAAAAGGAGTTTGGAGGACTGGGGCATGCATGTAAGGGTCTTAGACGTCAGTCGCCGTGCAACTAGCATATTTGACCGGGCCACCAGTATACGAACGATCTAACAAGAGGCTGAGGGTTCAGAAGGCGCAGGTGAGGCTATAGTAGTCGCCGGCAAGTTTCCTTCTGGTAGTGGGTTTCCGGGAGGTGTGACTTGCGAGGACGATACGCTCGTTCGATGTGGAGAGCGAGATGGCCGTCGGGGGCTGCTAGGAGGAGTGGGGTAGTTCAGAAAGTAGCAGAACGCGTAGCGAGTTTTTTGAGGAATGGCGGCCCACATGCGATTGGATTCTGCAAGCGGCTCTGGAAAAGCATCGATCGCTGGAGCGGTAGTTGAACTCGTCGTGAAGTCCCCACATGAAGTCGATCGCTGAGGGGCAGGTGCTGGAGAGCTGGTACTGCTAGTACATAAGGTGCAAACTGAGGATTGGGGTGCAGCCATGGAAGGTGAACAGGAAACAGCAAGAGCAAGAGGCGGGGCCGCAAGTTTGAACGGAAACGGCTACGGGTGAGGTGGTCCGGTCAGGTCTGGGGAGAATGGGGAGGAGGCGTAAGTCATAGCGCCGCGGCACGGCAGCCTTTTTCCGCAAAAAGTCGGTTCTGGGCAACGATGAACGAAATCACGGAGGAGTCTCCGGAAAACTGGCTACTGGATCCTGGCGACCATGCGTCGCTTGCCATAGGGAGGCGCGGAGGCCGTTACTACGCCCAGCTGGAGAAGCACTGTGGGAGGTAGCGCGGCTGGAAGTAGTCTATGGTGTAGAAGTCGAAGATGTTTCCGCGCGAGCAGGTGGAGTACGGGAACGAGCACGGGGTGCATTGAGCGGCTGAGGGTTGACTTCGCTGTGTTGCGGCGTAGGCTGGAGCCGAATAGCATCGCGTGGAAGAGCGGTGGGCGGACGAGCTCGTGGTGGTTGAGGGTCCGGAGGAAGACGTGGAGGCAATGCGTCCATGTATTGAATGTCTTCTCGGCCACAGGTGCGAGTGAGGGCGGCTAGTTGATCATGAGGAATGTTTTGAACTTGTCAAAGAGCGGTATGAACTCGATCTCGTAGAATGCCAAGCTCGAGGAGAACAATACGAAATTCGCGTTAGTGATGGTACGCTTCGTCATTGGGAAATTGTGCCTGAGGAGGAACAGGTTGTATAGAACAACCGGATGAAGTTGACTGCAGTCAATAATCCATGAAAGTAGATTGAGGGTCCAATGAAGCCACATCATCTCAGGGCGCCGTACCGGTCCCGGATCAAGTCGTCGTGGCGGTTGGCGAGGCATTGCGAAGGTCCGATAATGGAAGGCCACCTCGTTCGCTGATCGTCGGAAAGCCTGGATACGACATGGAGCGCGACCGATAAAAGCAAAATGGCTGAGGAGATGGATGAGGGATCGTGGTGAACAAGCAAACAACAAGCTGGAGAAACAGGTCCACATCGGTGAATGGGGAGGGAAATGTGTCGCGGAGCAGGTAGCAGCTTTTTTCCGTCGCTGTGAGGGGATAGGTGGATGAGTGACCACCTATAGGCAAAACTGTGAGACTCATGGCCACAGAACCGGTAGCCGGAGGATCGGGTGGGTCTTGAGTGGTCTCAGCAGGAAGTTCCGAAAGCAGTGTGGGTTTAGCAGGAGTAGGAGTGGGCGACGACTCGACAGCGTTCGAGGGATCCACCATGATAGAGGCCGGGGTAGTAGCGCTCGTGTGTAGGGGGCTTCGACCAAAGTATCGGGAAGGCTCAGCCCGCCACTTTGAGCAGGGAGCGCAGGGTCAGCCACCGGTGATGTGGAGGTGATAGTAGCCTCTGGAAGCGTGCTGCCTGCTACTGTGTGGGTGTCGTGGCAGGCGGTCTCGTTGTCCATGGCGGTCTGGAGAGCCAAGATTTCCGACCAGCGTGCCTTGCATTGCCCAGCTGAGCATTGTAGTTTCTTGGCAATGAAAGTCCAGCTAGGGCGCAACTTGGCATTGGTCTTCACGTCGACGAGTTGCTCTTCTTGCCAAGGTTCCCAAGAGTCCCAAATTGCATGTAGTTCGTCAAGTAGGTTGGATCGACGCCCAAGTGGGAGCTCTCAGGGTCTAGATTTGGCCTTGGCTTTGGCTGGTTGACTAGTCCGAGATCGCTTTGGTGGGGGAGGTCGTACTGGCGCTGATGAGACATCACTGTCATCCTGAGGAGGGGGCTGGAGGGACGTGAGATGGGTATAGTGAGTGGGAGGTTGGGGAGCTTCATCGTTCTTGGTGGGGGCTGCAATGGGTCGCAGGGTGCCGGGGAATGGGGCGGAGTGTTTGGATGTGGTACGTCGGGTAGCCGGACCTCCGGGGACTTGCAAAGGGGTTGGCGGGGGTAGAGGTCCAAAATGATGCTGAAT